GCAACATAACCACAACCACTGAGATAAAGTTCCTTTGACCCGTTTGCGCGCTCTATCGCACTAGGTAGTCAACACCAGCTGAGTGTAAAAAATAAGAGCACACACCTTGTATTTTCAAGACATCCATGATGATTCTCCAGCCTCTCCAGTGGTTTCCTAGTTTAGGAATTTGGGGACATCCGAATGTTTCTCAACGTTCACGACCATTCGCTGCTCGTCCATGTTACAAGAGCGATGCTAACGTAATGACGCAGTGTTGATGTTGGTATTTATACTTGTTTACATTTTAAGATAATAATAATAAAAACATAAATAACTATCAATATTTACAGTTTCTTGTAGGTATTAACTGAAATAATTTCCTCTAGTTAATTTTAGACGCAGTTCCATATACATAGCCTATCATAGTTTTTTATGTTCTTGTAGGCTATATCTTTCTTCTCCTGAACGCAAACTAAAACATTTTGAAGAATGTGGGGAAGACATTTTTCCATACTAGCTATGGCAGTCAACGGGGACCAGCAAACATATCTTCTTTTGAGTTCAACAGAAGAAAGAAACTCATACAGGCATCGAACAACTTGAGAGTGAGTACATGATGACAGAATTGTCGTTTTTGGGTGAACTCTTCCTTTTAAATTGCTTTTCAACACTATTTATACAGATTTGATAGCTGTTTGACGGATTAATACATTCATGTTATGCTACTTTATGGAGAATTAATGGCCACCATCTTACTTTTTGCCTTAAGAAAAAATGGTGCAGCCAAATTAGGCCGGCCTACGGAGTTAAAGTAAAGCCCCTATGTGAACTTTACATCCTAATTGAAGACCTTATGAATAAGACAAACGGTGAAGGGAGCGACTGCTTGTAGTGCTGTAATATTTGTCCTTTGCGGTGTCACAGAAAAGAACAATGCCCTCCATTCAGATTTCTCCAGTCCCCAGGCGTGAGAGACGTAATGAAAGATGTGTTTGCTGTGCTTCTGTAAACACTCAGCGCTGGCACACATCTGCGACCCATGATCTCCTGTACACCTCAGGCCTCGCACCGCTCACATTACCTGTCATTAGAATTGGACTTGGCTCTGTGATGAGTGGTTTGTTTTTGCAGAAAGACAGAGCAAATCACACAAATGGAACAAAAAAAAAAAAAAAAAAATCAGAAACAAAATACAATCATACTTAACATTAGTTTTCGTGTTACCATGTAAGTAATTATGTGATTAATGAGAAACACTAATGAACATCATGTTCTTAATATGCAATTAGTTTGTGGAGCAGCTCGCAATTACACATTGCTGTTGTAATTAATTTGATTCATTGTCCAATATGTGTAACATGAACACAAAAAACACAATGAACAAAAGCTTAAAGCTCTGTGTCATTCATGACAGGAAAATAAGGTCTGTGGTTAATATTATTTGAAGAGACTTGTTTTGTAAAAATAATTATCGTATGCATATGTAACATGCAAAATATATCTTTTTTTTTGTAATTTTTTTTTTTAATCTAAGCTATTCTGCAAACCCATTAGAAGTTCCCGGGGGAACCCATGGCTAATTAGCTTTTTGTGTCGGCCTACAAATTGGCGTTGTATCTGAACGGCTTTGTTATGCCTTGTGACATCAGGTGACATAATTTCCTCTAACAGCAAATCTGTTCCCATTTCTTTTCTGTCTCCATTTCCTATTCCGTCTCACGTTAGTCTGTATCATTTTTACTTCACCTCGCAGCTATTGCATTTTCTTTCTTCCTCTTCTGCTTCAACTGTCTCACTTTGTTGTTTTAAAATTGATAAAACATATCTCTTCCTGTGGTTGCCCAATTGTTTTATTCATAGGCTATATTTATACCTTTTGGTTATCATGGTTTATTGATCCATTATGGCTTTTTTATATATCCAGTCCTCTAACAAAATTTTCTAAACTGCAAATGGAAAAAATAGGATAGATAGAAAAAGGAAAAATGGTATCAAAGGAATAAGCATGTATTAATGCTGCCATAAGTTTAGACCAATTACAATTACAAGACACCATCCCCCAGCACTGCGGTGAATCAACAACTGGCAGACGATCTGAACGAATTCTACTGCAGGTTTGACCAGCATAAATCTCTGTGTTTGTATTAGTTGTGATGATGGACAAAGACAGACAGACAGAATAACAGATAGAATGATAGAATAATACTGTATATCGAACGATATGATAAACAGAATGAAAGATGGAACAACAGAATCAAAGACAGAACAACATATAGAATGATCCGATAGACAGAACCAGAGATAAAACAATGGACAAAATGATAGATAGACTGAAGGATAGAACAATACGATAGACAAACAATAGAACATGTACTAGATAGACATACAGAACGATAAACCAAAAGACAGAATGATAAATAGATTGAACAATAGATAGAACGACAGACAGAATGATAGATAGACTTAAAGGGGTCATATCAATTTTTCCTTTCTCTTTGGAGTGTTACAAGCTCTTGGTGCATAAAGAAGATCTGTAAAGTTGCAAAGACTAAAGTCTCAAATCCAAAGAGATATTCTTTATAA